GAAACGTTATCCCAAATTTTGCAGATGAGAAAACCAAAGCTTCAAGAGGTGAGCAACCAAAGGTCAATCCTAGCCCAGCGCCCTGTCTACTATATCATGAACATCTACGGAATCAAATGGCTGACCTCTTAATTAAAAAAAAATTATATATATATAATTGTACATATTGTATATTGTATAACTACATATATATACACACACACATATATGTACACATATATATAAAAATTGTAACATAGTATCATAGCTCATGTTCTGAGAGCTCCAGATTTTTCTGGGAATCAACTAGTCTGATGAGATTGTGAAGGCTTTGATAGGACCCATGCTGTGAGGCCCCTGTGTTTTATTCAGTCTACACAGGTGGCATTTCCAGTTTGGGCCAAACTTCACAGATCCCACTGAGGTTGGTATAACTGTGCAGCTCTGCACCTATATAAGAATGATAAATAAAGGCTGTTTTAATCTGGGGGGAAAACATCACTTTGGTAGTTTAAAACTCTAAACAATTAGAACAGTAAAAGTATTTATCTGTTTCTGTGCTCACTTGCAGTTTCTTGCTTCAATCACCCAAGCTAGTATAAGGTATGGATCTCAAAGAAAGCTGTAGAAGTTTCCTTGGAAATAGCTGCAATCTGAGAGCATTCACTGGAAAAAGCTTTATCTGTACACAAATAGGAAATGAAAAATGTAAATAAATATGGAAAAAATAAGAGAGTTTAAGATGATCAGATTCAGTGAATTTCTGATTTATGCTAATGCTGGCATTCTATTCCGGGTTAAATATATAATTCACTGGGAAAAGAGAAAGTACAGTAAGCATCACATAGCTTAGATATCTGCCGCAAGTCCAGTGTCATTCTAACTGATAGTAATAACAATTATCAGCCTATAAATCCAAGTAAAGTTTGAGAACTAGGTAGAAATAATCATGATGTCCAATGAAGAACAGATACAGTAGTACACAATCAGGAAAAAAACAAACAAACAAAAACCTCCCACTCCCGCCATGTAGCTACTAAGAAGGTGGCCTGAAAGCCGGTGCCTGAGCTAAGGACCAACTCACACTTAGTGACCACGAGACACTCAGCAAGTGGCCTAATCCCTTTAAGACACAGCTTTTTTATCTGTAAAACGAGAAAAGCCGCACTATCTACTTTGTCAGAGTCGATGTGAGAAGTAAACGAGCTAAAGTGTAGAAAGCACTTTATACCATGCCTGGTGTAGAGTTAAACACACATTGTAGGTCGTCTTATTTCATCTCAGGCAAAACAAACTTCATGCAACCTCCAATAACTCTGCTGACTGTGGGTTCCCATGAGCCTGGGACAGCCTGGTTTACTGGACTGGTCTGTCTTAGCAAGAGCACCCTTTCTTACTCCAAAAAGCATCCCCGTTTGGATGCTAAATTTTACACGCCCCCGCCCCCCTACAAATAATAACCATGAGTTATTCATTCCTGCCTCCAAGCCTTCTTTCTGCTGGTCTCCCCAATTAAATGATCTCAACTCCTCTCCTCCTTCTGAAACATTTCCACTGCCAGTCTTTCAGAACTGCTGTTTTTCCTAAGCAGAATGAGCATCATTAGCTCCATTTTATACATGTGAAAACTGAGGTAGGAAGAGAAAGGGTAAATTCAGAAATTACAGACAGAAGAATTCAGAGATATCTAGAGTTAACACAAATAGCCCAGAAGAAACATAAATGGCCAAGCTAGGCCTAGAACTCTGGTCTTCTGACTGCGAAGCTTAGATTCCTTCTTAAAGTCACTATGAAGGAGACAGAGAATAATAATGTGTGTATCTAACCACATATACATTGTTACAGATTTGGACTATACAGTTTATACCTGACCTAGGTAAGAGATGGGCAGATGTTTACAATAGGTGGTGGCATCAAATAAAGAAAGGGAAAGGGAGAAAAGAATATTGTTTCAGTAGGAATACTTTAGTATATATTGTGATTTTTTAAGAACTGTGGGAAATATGAGCAGATAATAATATATTGTGTTACAGCTTTCAAAAACACTATTTTAAAAATCTTTTAAACAACCTTGCAAGGTAAGTGAGTATCGTCCCATTCCTTAAGAAGAAATGGAGGCTGACAGGAATGAAATGAATTGCCCAAGGACCTCTGAGACAGTAACTGAGCTGGGGCCATAATTCAGGACTTCTGGGTCCTCCTCTCGGATACTTTCTGCCACACCTATCTGCCTCTGAGCTGTGCTAGCAAAAGATGATCATCTGATCAGATGAACATGACCTTTAAGAGGTGGGACCATTCAACTTATCATTGAAGACAGGGCACTTGACAGTGTAAGGGGGCGCTCGTAATAATTATACGGCGACATTAGGTGTCAATGGACAGTTCCACCCAAAGTGGGAGGTGTGGTTGCCCTGCACCCTAGGTTACAGTGCACTCTCTGGTAAGTTTTGCACATTAAACTTCTAAGAAATGAGAACTTTCGTTTTTCTTAGAAAACAGAATAATTCATAAAATACTTAAAGCACAAGGCAGGCCAGGCGTGGTGGCTCACGCCTGTAATCCCAGCGCTTTGGGAGGCTGAGGCGGGCAGGTCAAAAGGTCAGGAGATTGAGACCACGGTGAAACCCTATCTCTACTAAAAATGCAAAAAAAATTAGTGGGGCGTGGTGGCGGGCGCCTGTAGTCCCAGCTACTCGGGAGGCTGAGCTTGCAGTGAGCCAAGATTGCACCACTGCACTCCAGTCTGGGTGACAGAGTGAGACTCCGTTTCTAAATAAATAAATAAATAAATAAATAAATAAGCACATGGCAATATAGACCTTATTGGGTGTAAAGAAGTCTTTTTTCCATCTTTCTTTCTTCTATTCTTGGGAAATTATTTACATTATTTTTGGAGAAAAGAGGCTTAATCCTTCTAGAGATGATTCCTCCCCAAGTCTTAAAAGTGGTCTTGCAATTTAAAGTATAAGAAAACAGATCTAAGTTGCCGTCTTTATCTGCATCCTAAAATTATCTTAATGATCCTTATGAAAAGCTCCTTACTTCACTATTACAAAACAACAGGGACTGAAAGCATGCTGTGAGATCCTGTTGGGGCTCTGCCATTTCCTAGCTGTGTAATTTTAGCCAGGTGAGTTTCCTCATCCATAGCACGACTCAAGGTTCAAGCCATACACTAGACACTTCCACTCTTCTTCAGATTATGATAAAATCAAAGCTTTTACAGGTTCAGTGCCTTTCTCAAAAATCACAGAATTGTAAGAACTGTAGCCAGGAATGAAATTTGACCCTCTGAATTCCAAACCCTTTCCTCTATGATGCTCTGCTTTAAAATTATTGGGAAAGTGTCATTGAAGACACTGGTAATGTTATATTAATAAGATCAGTTCACCCAAGAGGTCAAAAAAAAAAAGAAAAACAAGAAATTACAGAAGACCATTCTTACATAAGTGGTAGATATGACTGAATAACCTATCACGGATACTGTTTACTGTTTAACAGAGCATATTTATAATGCTATATATTGGAGTCAAGATCATATATTTTCTATATAGGTTTTAGGAACAAAGACACAAAGCTTATAAATACTGAAGGAATACAGCATGTTACTGCCTGAATACAAAGACTTAATTGACAATTTCTTCCTAGACATCTGTCTTTAGAATTTGGTGACCTAAAAAGTACTCTTAACATACCTAACAGCCCTAAAATATTCATGTGAAAGTGATAGTTTTAATGATGACATCAACTGTGCCTCACGATATTGCTCATTTGAACAGAGAAGGACAAATTCTCCTCAAAAGATGCTAATAATGTTTTTAAAATAAAAACACAAAACAAAGTCCTTATATCTTAGTCACAAGATACCAATAAAACTGAATTTATGTCTAGTTTAATTGAACAATGGAAAAGCCAGCAGTTAAAGGGCAGATAAACTTCCCTTTGTCCCTCTTTTCCTGAGAAACTTTCAAATGTTGAAAATCAATTCCTTTTGTCCCCTTGTTATTCATCTGCTACACATTAAATAGAAACTCTGGGCATTGAGTGATTCCTGCAGAGTCTTTCATCTACACAAGAGCCTGGTACAAATTAAATACTTACTCTCCCTCACAAATTATAGATATGTATTGTAGTACACCATCGATTTATCAGTCCATGCCATTGCGAGTTCAGTTTGGTGAGAGCAGCCCATTGTAGTCCTTTATCTAAAGTTACTCTGGGGTTAAGGATTGTGATGCTATGTTAATTAATGTGGAGCATTACTATTCTGCTCTGATTTTGCAGGCTATATTTTAAAAATCATTTTGTTGGATATTGTGTTTTAGTTACTTTGCAGATCTTTGAGCCATTTAGCCTAGCTCTGGGGGTGGGTGGGTGGGTGGGTGTGTATGTGTGTGTGTGTGTGAGAATTATTATACTGGAATAATAATATATGTAATATTACCTCTAGCAGCAATGTTACGCTATGAAATGACCATCATATGGGTTATCACAAATAATATGGAAGTACAGACTCTCTCCAAGATCTGTTAGAAATATTCAGTTGATGCAAACATTGTTTTAGCATTGGACTTTAAGACCAATAGCTAAGGCAGTGATTTCAATCCCAAGCCTGCCAGATGTCTTTGGAGACCATGGCTTACACAGTATCTATTAAATCCCAATTAGAAAGCAAGCACACACATATGCACACGCACACATACACAAAACACACACACACACAGAAACACACAAAGCCAAGCTATGAGTCTCTAAATAATGCTGGGAAGTTATAAGAATTTCACTTTAATTGGTAACCTACTAAACATATTCAAAACCTTTTTTGGCAAAGATTAGGTGTTCAATAGAAAGACAAATGTCATCAGCTCTTGGCAAATTTCACAAGTACCTTGACTTTCCCCACACTGTTTTAAATTTTTTCCCAAATATTTGTCTAAAGTGATCACCCTGAATAAAAAATGAGCACTCTAATGAATGAAAACTATCTTGTTTATTTGGAGCCTCCCAAGACGCCCCACCTCGCTTGAATCCTCCTGCTGATTGATAACTGCCAGCGCATCCTCTGCTGCCTGACGCTTGGCCTCGGCAACCGTGCGCTCCATCTTGGCCCGCTCTGTCGTGATCATGTCGTGGGCTTTCCGCTCCGCCTCAGACACGGCCTTCTGCAGCTCCGTCATCGCCTGGCGCTTCACCTCGTTGACGGCCTCCTCTGTGTGCCAGTCAGGCCAAACCAGACAAGAAAACACTCTCGGTTAGCCCAAGTCATTGGATACGGATTACTTTTCTTTTAATTTTTTTTTTCTTTTCGAGTCAGGTCTCACTATATTGCCCAGGCTGGTCTCGAACCCCTAGACTCAAGTGATCCTCTGCATCAATCTCCCCTAGCAGCTGGAATTAAAGGCACCTACCAGCCACCATGCCCACTATCTGATTACTTTTTTATAGAAATTCTATAGAAAAAGTATAACTCTCATCCAAATTATTGGGCAGTTCCAGCAGTCTAAAAACTAGCAGATCTTTTGCCACACATTTAGGAAAACAAAGAGTGAAAATGTTTCTTTAACTTGAATTTATGGAAATATTTTTTGAAATTCCTATATCATTATTATAATGTTTTCATCAAATTGATGCCTCCAGAAATGATTCTGAGACCAGATAAGAAGTTAAAGGACAAGGACATTCGCAAGAAACCTGTCTGAATAATTCAGACACATAAAGTTAGTTTTCCACAATGCTAAAAGTTAATATGAATATAGGAGGGTCCACAGCTCAAGCATTCAGAAAAAAAGAGAGGGAGAGAATGGATTTTACACATAAACAAGTAAGTGCAAACTATTAGTTGCTGGTATAATCTACAACACAATAGTGAAAAGGTAACTCAGATAGCAATTAAGTTACTATAGACCTTTTAATGGAAAATCAATGCTATAATGGATGATCCAGTTTTACTTTTGAAAAGTCATTTCCTGAGTAATATAAGTATGTGCCTTTAAGATTAAATGACAGAGGTTTTAAAAAATAATCTCATTTTTACATTTTAAGCTGCTGTCCATTTACTTTACCAAATATATACAGTGGTTTTGCATAACCAACTGTTGCACTAGACAAATATAACTGAATCATACCATGGGCCAAAACAATCAGGCCTGACTATGAGTCTGCAAGGTGTCAAATAAGCTCTTTATTTTTGGCTGAGGAAAGGGTGCAAAGATTCAACTAATGTACAACATAAGATTGACAACTAAAACAAGTAATTTCCATTAAAAAAATTAACTGTTCTAATTAACAGGGGAAAATATCCTCCCCCTGAATTAGTTTATCTAATTTTCATCTTTATTCAAAGCAAAATGACAATGATTAATTGAAAATTTAATAAGCAGTAATTATTAACTTGGCAAACCTAGTACCAATTAACACTCTATTAAAACTAATTATGACATGTTTCATTCAAGTGTTTGCACTTAATTGTTTCACCCACTTAAAAAGCACCTTAATTAAATGTTCTGTTTAATTAAAAACATAGATTCCTAATAAAAATGTTTTACTGTAGATTAAAAATGTAAGAGATGCAAGTGTTCCTATGGTTTCTTCAATTCCTCTGGTTTATTTCACACATCTATCGTCCATGACTTGAGAATCATCAGAAGCTCTCCATTACTAATTAACTGTCATGACTTTTGTAGCCTCTGTCATTTTAGCAGCATTATATCTGAAGTACATTTCTTTGCAATTACGGTCTGTTAGGTTTTATAAACTAAAATATAAGTAAAAGATCCATGCTGGAAATATTAACTAAATTGTATTAAGCCTTTGTTAGCTGCTTTAAGATATGCATTTAAAATCTGTGTAGAATCAGAGTATTGCAAACAGCTTACAGCACCTTCTTCACTAGGAGGTGAAAAGATGCCTTTATTACCCTATCATAAATGACTTGGGGCACAAGGGAAGTACTGCCCTTCTAACTATACAGCCAGGGTCTAATTTAGTTTGAATATTCAAGGTGAATTAAAATTCTATCTAAGTGGTAATACAGGACAATAATTTTTGCTTACGATCAAAGCTGTAGCTTGACTAATTGTATATGCAAATCAGGCAATTTATATTTAAATTATGCATTCCTATTCTAATCCCACAGGCATATACAGATCAGCAAAGAGAATTGGTAGGACATTTGCAAGGTGCTTGAATATTTATTACCAACTGCAAACATTCTCTGATCGTGTAAAAATATACTGAAGAAAACATTCAGTTACAAATTTAAAACCATCTTTATGTTAGATTTTTTTTTCCAGTTTCATAAAGACCCCTTGTAACTTTTGAGTGCATTTGTTACTTTTGCTTTTAAAAATACTACTTTTAGAAGAGAATATGGCCTTGAACAATTGTTTGGATTTCTAATCTTTAAAAATGTGTGTTGTTATGTTATTATACTGTATTATTCGGGGCAATGTGAAAGATTTGCATAGGGTCTGTAGATTAAATAAGTCTTGTATTAATGTGAATGTCTTGATTTTGGTAACTGTACTGAAGTTAAGTAGAATATTCTTGTTCTTGGTAAATTGACATTCAAATCATTTAAGGTAAAGAGAAATTATGTAAGCAACTTACTCTCAAAATGATTAGAAATATATATATATATATATTTAAGAGAAAGAAGAGGATGAAAGAGAGGAAAAGATAAAATACTAAAGCAAGTATGATAAGGGAAACTAGGTGAAAGTTATAGAGGAATATTTTGTACTTTTTTTGTAACTTTCCTGCATGTTTGAAATCATTTCAAAATATAATGATGCAAAAAGCTATAGATGTACTTTCAAGCACAGGGTATACTTCTTGTAATTATAATTTTCTGTGAAAGTAGATGCATTTGTTATGCTACATCAAGTTTTGGGTGTTCTGCCCCTTTTGTATTTTTCAAACACTTTATTCACCTATCTTTTGCAACAAAGATAACATATAATAATTTCATTGCAAAGACACACTTTATAGGTTTTCTTCAAAAAAATTTTTTGCCCATAGCCAATTTTAGAAACCTAGGATAAAAGCTTTCAAATTGTAACAAGCTGAGTGCAGATGTCACATTCTGCCCTTGGTGTTTTCATCGTGTTGGATGCCTTGACACTGAACACTAGAAATGCCATTTAAGAAGCCTATAAAGATAAATATTATAAGTAGTTACTGGAGATTTCTAGATGAAACTGTCATCCATACTTGGAGGATTTAATATACTCCTTAAAATTTAGCATCTATCCATAGAAAACTATTCCTAAACTGTTTTTAAGCAGCAGTTTAGGGATCCCACTGTGAGAAGAATACAAATTTAATGTCATATTTTAGATTGAAAACCTACTGCAGATGATAGGCACTGTAACAAATAATCTAAACACTTCCTAGATAAGGTTTAACCCTTCTTGGAGAGGGCAAGCACACAACAAAAACAAGGACTGCTCTTAAGTCCCCAAAACCTAAATTACATGCAGAATTAGGTTAAAAAACCCCCAAAACAGGAGACAGTAAAGAAAAATAATAGTGGATTCAATAGATAACAATATGCCATGTAGGAAAAAATAAACAACTGACTAAGTGGAAAATACATACTGCAGTTATGAATCTGTGTCCAATTGCTTCCCACTTATGGTAGGACTTCCTTTGTGCATAGCTATTCAAGTTGACTTTCCAACAAAGGTGCTATATTCAGAAAAATCTGTTCTCACTTAATAGCAGTCAAACAAAGACTTGAGCAGATAATAGCACATAAGGAATTTGGATTACACAAGACCTTACTGGCAATTTTTCTTTATGAACTATGAAGAATTTCACTTAAATATACTTAAAAAGGGAAGTGCGGAGAAAAGACTCACTCCTCTGAACATAAAGTCACCCTTCTTCTGTTCAAAATCACAATTATTTGTACCTCTCATTGGAATAAGTTGCACTGACAGCTTAGAAATGGAAGAGAAAATGGTCAGAAGGAAGATGTTGTCCGTCTTTTCAGGTAGGTGGTACTTGGCATATTTTTAACAGCTTGAGAGTACCACATAACTATTATTGTAAATCTGGTAAAACTACACAGTTCAGCAACATATGTATTTTAACCTGTAAGCTAAATGGACCTATCTAATTTGCATATTGGACGTGCAAGACAGCTTTCTGATTCTTAATCTGGGCTACTAAACCTACAATGCTATCAGATTTTAAAGCTCATTATCACTCTTACAAAAACAGGTATTTCTTGGAAAATGTATAAAAATACTTGGATAAGATACATGTGACTAGCTGGGCGCGGTGGCTCATGCCTGTAACCCCAGCACTTTGGGAGGTTGAGGCGGGTGGATCACAAAGTCTGGAGATCGAGACCATCCTGGCTAACATGGTGAAACCCCATCTCTACCAAAAAAAATACAAAAAACTAGCTGGGCGTGGTGGCAGGCGCCTGTGGTCCCAGCTACTCGGGAGGCTGAGGCAGGAGAAGGGCGTGAACCCGGGAGGCGGAGCTTGCAGTGAGCCGAGATCATGCCATTGCACTCCAGCCTGGGCGACAGAGCGAGACTCCGTCTCAAAAAAAAAAAAAAAAAAAAAAAAAATACATGTGACTAGAGAGTCAGCAAGTACACAGAACTACAAACACAGCTGAGTGAAATCCCAAAGAGAAATCTTGTGTAGAAAAGAAACAAAAAATCTGTCCCCTGACTCTTCAGTTTGTACTGTTTGTAGAAGTAGCATTTCCCAGTTTCCCAACTCAAAAAGACAAACTATTTTAAGAGTTGGAGTTACAGTAGCTGAAAGCCTTGGTATGTTTTTCATGGCCTCTTCAACTCTTGAAACAGGTTTATGTTTCATCTCCTGAGCTGGTTTTCAAAAACGTTTTTGCTTGCTAGGTGGTTCCACCAAAATTCTCACAGATCTGGACTTCTTTAAGCCCAATAACAAGTCAGTGGGTCATGAGGAGATTTAAATCTACTATTACAAAATACAGAGCAGCATCTTGTAATGGAAAGCAGACAGTGTATATGAAAAGCAAAAATAAATGTTTAGTAACTTTGTTATTTCACTTAAAAAGTAATTTAGCTCTGATTGTTGAATACTAATTAGTACAGAAGAACAATTTTAAAAGTCGATTGTAACCAAAAAATTATCTGAGTACTTTAACAAGTCAACTAGATGTGATGTGGGTGTTTTTTTTTTTTTTTCTTTTTTTTCTTAAGAATGCAGGAGAAAAGGCTGAGGTATGCAATTTAATTTCTAAGACATTAGATTTTTTTCATCATAGAAAAAAAATGCATGCGAGCTAAGACCTCCTATGCCAAGTTTCAGCCTGAAATCATTATGGCCCTGAAAAAAAAAAAGGAGTTTTATAATGGAAATATTGCCAGCTTCTCAATTATAGTGAAACTGGCAGATGTTACTAAAATAAAAATGATTTCATCTTGTAATCAGGCCTGGTTTAAGAATATTAATCAGGTGTTTTGTTTTGGTTTGCTTTGTGGTTTTTGTTTTGTTTTGTTTTTGCTGTTGTTGTTGTTAGCAGTAAAGTCCTTTCTTGTCATTCCTCACATCACTGCATTAACAACTGCACACAGCTGCCAGAACACGAAACTCATGTTTTTAAACAATTCTTACCAGCTTTCTTCCAGATCTCCTCTGGCACGTATCCAGACGCAGGCCTGTGAAGGAATTCCCGATGCGCGTCTATGAAAAGGATGGGAAGGGGGTGGAGAGAGGAGGAGAGTACTGTAAGCACACTTGTGGCATTGTACAGAGTGAAAGTAAGCAATGCCCATTCTCCTGGCTTCTCTACAAAAACACAATTTTAAAAGGCTAAACATTTCACTTCTTGAAAATACACAAAAATAGCAAGGCCTGTCATCAGAGCCCAAGGAAAACAGGTCATTGGTCTAAATGCCCTGCATGCTCAAAGCCAAAGCAACTTGATTTCATTATACAATATGATGTTTGGGAACACTGTTCTCACTACTTTCTGACTATGGAGACTTGTATAGATATATTTTGTTAAAGAAAATAAATTGTATTTGGTAGTTTTCCTTTCAAGAGTCAATCAAATTGGTGGTTAAAAAATCAAATGTTCAGGTAATGTAATTTCCACAGAGCTCTGATTCTGCCACCTTTCTATGAATAGCAAGCTCCACTCTATGGCTAACCAGTTCTCACACTTAATTAATTCTTAAAAATCTCAGTGAGCATTAAAATTTTTCACACAAATTAGATCATATGGATTTGACATGGGTGGAAGCCAGAAAGACTCATTAGAATGGATTCACAGACATTCTGCTGAGCAAAGAGAATTAGCCCATGCTTTCCAGAAAAGGAAATGAAGTTCCACTTTAAATTAAATGCAGTGCTTACTATGCTTCTCAGATTTTAAAAGTTTAAGAAAACAACTAATAACAACTTTGATACAGGAATGCTAACTCCTAAAATAATATGTTCATGGAAATAACACAAAACATTTTATAGTACTTGTATATGCTCGAAAGTAAACAAAGTGCATACAGTCTTCCATAGCTAAAATATGCATTTCACGTCTTCCATATCGGATTTTCAATAAAAGCCTCCTTATATAGAAGAGTTCAGTAAGAAAAAAATCATTTTAACTTTTATAAAACACAATTATTAAACCCATGATAAATTCTGAGGAAAACTGAAAGTTTCTCTATGTGTAGAGTAAATGTTGAGTAGCATATATGTTTAAACAATACTTTATCTAATGGCTATGTTGAAGATCAAGACATTCAGTCCAGTCTCCTATATTTTATGGTGCTACACAATGTCAAAAATAAAGAGAAGCATGATCAGTTTAGCTAAGTATATGTTATTACATTTGAATGCTTTAAATACATTTGAATGCTTTGAATTCTTGCAGGGCACACAGATTATCAACTGGCAAGAACATTAGATTTTCTCAACTATTCTGAATTAGCAAAAATTTACTATAGCTTGGTAAGGAATATATGGAAACTATATCATCTTTGCAATTTTTTAATCTAAAATTATTCCAAATATTTAAAAGTTTATTTTCAAAAGCTTACACTCTGATGTCATGACTACTTAATAGGATGGACTGGAAATATCTATGCATTCTCCTGTGTGTATTCATTTCTATAAAGTAAATGACAAAAATAAAAATGCTTTTACTGAAGTAACTTTCATTCTTAAGGCGAGATAAAGCTGGTACATAAACAACCTAAAAGGAAATGTGATACAACTAATTAGATTTATCAAGATTATCTTCCTTACCACTATAACTATTTGCAGAAGAAATAAAGTGCAATCAAGTTCATATTTAGCCATGTGACACAGTACAACACAGAGATTTACTTATGACAACATTTAAAGACAACTTTTAAGGAGAAAAGACTTTAAGCATAATTTATTGGATAAGAATGAGAACAGATCTGTAAAGTCTGAGGAAAGAAAAAACATGACTCCAAAGTGGCAACTTTTATTTCATTTATTGTGTTAAGAAGAGACCTGTAGTTTATAAAAAATTATTATTTTTTCATTATTATTATTATTATTATTATTATTATTTGAGACAGAGTTGTGCTCTGCTGCCCAGGCTGGAGTGTAGTGGCATGATCTCAGCTCACTGCAACCTCTGCCTCCCAGGTCAAGCGATTCTCGTGCCTCAGCCTCCCGAGTAGCTGGGATTACAGGCACATGCCACCAAGCCCAGCTAATTTTTGTATTTTTAGTAGAGATGGGGTTTCACCGTGTTGGCCAGGCTGGTCTCAAACTTCTGACGTCAGGTCACCCAGCCTCCCAAAGTGCTGGGATTACAGGTGTGAGCCACTATGCCCAGCCTATAAACATTATTTTTTGATTAAATAGTCAAGTATTATGATAAAGAACAGGAAAGGAGATGTTTAGGTATCCAAAGTCCATGCATGAAAGATGCTAATTACCAGCCCCAGGCAACACAGGCTGAAGAAAGTTAGTTCTAGCGCCCAGTGAAGCAGCTATTGACCATGGAACACTGAGTATGTTAGTTTGTCCATGTCTCAGATGCCTCATCTATAATAAAGAGAGGACAATACTACTATTATTTGAGAGCACTGCTGTGAGGATTGAAGGAAATACCTCCTATTACATATACATCCTAAACTCTCATCATCTGGTATTTGCTATTATCCTCATTATTATCATCATTATTATTACTACATGCTCTTGTAAGAATGGCTATATAATTATTTCCTTATAAATAACTAAGGTGAAGAGAATATTTTAAAGTTTATCTTTTCTCTCAATGTTAAAAATCCAAATACCACAAATTTTGAAGAGAATAAAGCCATTAAAGAAGTTTGGATTAAGCAATATACACCAAGTAATTTTTTAAACTCCCAGAATCTATGTCGCTTGGAAACAAAATATTTCTATAGTTCACAATTCACTGCCTTTGTCCTTGGAAGCAAAATCTTCAAATTTCTTAGATGACACTTTCAAAAATTTTACTTGAGCCTCACCCTTGAATGTTTATAACACCCAAATTGATTCAAATATTAACGTGCCAGGCTCAATTGACCTTCCACCTTCTATGGGCTGCACAGCAGGTGTCTTGAGGGTACATATACCACACTGGAAAGTTGTATAATGTTTCACCTTGGCTACATCTTCCTAAATTTCTCACTGACATATTGCCATGTCCACATACGCTCAAACTTTAACTGACTTAGAAACCCAATAGAAATGCTAAAGCCAATTATGCAAAAATTTTCTTAATGATAACCTACCTTCTAAAAGACGGTTTTTCAAAATAGCAGAATCTAAAGGGAAATAATCATATATACGCATTTTACAATATCCTCTCTAGTTCTAAGTTAGTGTACTCGAAAAATGTCAGGTCTACCAACAAAAAGAACAGAGTGATTGGTAGCAGGTGTACTCCTCAGAAATCTATTTGATACCCTGATAAACGCTACTTTATAGCTTCAGAAACCAAATGACTAATACATTTAATATCTCCTCTTCTGATTAAACAGCAGCAATATCAGAATCTATACAGGGAAAACTGAGTTTGAAAAACAAAACAAGGGACAATTCTCTCCTAGGACTTTACTATTTTAGAATACTGGCTAATCTAGACACATCTACCTAAAACACCCTAAGATTCTAAGGCTTAGATTCTAAAGAAGCTAATTCTTAACCATTAACTCGTCAGCACCTATAAAATATAGATTGCTATAAAAAGGAATCATTGCTCTAAAATGTAGTGGTAAAAGCAAAGACAGAAGAATCTATACAAGATGGTTTAAAATGTGAAATGTGTGTATATGTGTGTGTGTATATATATATGTATATATATATGCAACTACTGAAAGATGAAAACATTATAGAAAAGTCCTTCTAAGTTAAGTCTAGCTTGCTTTGGGTTGCAAATTGCTTGGGGGGGATGAGAGGGGATGAGGATGAAGAGAGCCTCTTGAAAATAATTCACGTCCATGAAGAGAGGAGACCAGGTCATAGTGACAGAAAATGGTGTAAGAAATGTGAAAGAACAGAAAGAGCAATCTATGATGTATGAAAGAGATGGAAGATGCACTACACTTACGACAGGATGGAGACCATTGGATACTAGATACTGCAAGGGCCGCCATCAATATACATGAAGGGATGAGCTGATAGCCTTTGGAGAAGCAATGTGACCTCATATGACCCAGGACAGCAATGCTCAAAGCTTGGCAGCACCTAGGTATGGCCTTCATCCTGTAGTGGGCAGAGTGAGGCTGTGATCATGATAATATCTATTATAAAAACCATCAAAAGAAAGAAAGAGTTAAGTAATTTTATCTTTACAAATGCCACTTGCTTTTAAGGATAATACATTCAGAAATCTTCACCCTAGGTTTCAGAAGCCTAAATCCAACCTAGAAGCTAGCAACTGCTTTAGGATTTCCATTTTTTACAACAAACATACTTAATGCTCCAGGAAGTAACCATCTCCTCTTAATTTTAAAAGATGGACATATTTAACTAATAGTCCCTTATTTTTAAACCCAATATAGTTAAGTACAGTAGGCATTTGCATTATGAAGTCAGCTGAATGACTGAGAGATTAATTTCATGATGTGATTTAAAGCAATCAATACAAGGGTACAGAACTCCAAACATTTACATGGAAATATACACAGAATAACTTGTTTGTGTTTTTCATATTCTGAGAGTATAGAAGTTGAAATATTTCATTGGCTGGGAGAAATCTATTTTTCTATAGACTTGTATTATGAATTAGGGTCCCAAAGGTACAACAGATTTACTATATTTAAGACAGGAGTATTTTCTAATCCTGTGCCTATTAAAGTAGCCAACTGCTTAGAAGTACTTTGTCGATGAAAAAATACTCAATACACAATCTTGAATGCCAAGGAAAAACTTTACTAGTTTCATTTACCACTATTTTTTAAAGTTCATTTTATTTTATTTTTTAAATTTTTTAATTTTATTTTTTGAGACAAGGTCTTGCTCTGTTGCCCAGGCTGCAGGGCAGTGGCACAAACATGGCTCACTGTCACCTTGACCTCCTGGGCTCAAGGAAACCTCCCATCTTAGCCTCCTGAGCAATTGGGACCACAGGCATGCACCATCATGTCCAGCTAATTTTTCGATTTTTGGTAGAGATGGGGTCTCACTGTGTTTTCCAGGCTGGACTCAAACTCCTGGACTCAAGGGATCCT